AATCAATAGTAACCAAACTGCTGCATATCTATACTTCCTCTCACTAGTATATCACTGACAGACTATGTTGTAAGACAGTGTCAGCCATTACCCATTTCAATTTAGAAACACTCACTTCTAATCCAAGGTTCTGGAAATGTGCCAGCTGGTACAGCAATGCTACACTATGATTGCATGTCCCTTTCCCAGCTGTACAGGAACACGCACAGTCAACCTCCAGGTCACTGGAGATGGTCATCTGGACAGGAAGAGAAGACATAAAGTACATGTACATGTACTCAAATATCTATACTATTTTTTTCAACAAAACAAATATTGACGAATGAGTGTAAATAAATTGAAAACTGTTGTTAAGTTCATTTTGCGAAGTATTGATATATATTTACACTTCAATGGGCCTGGATTGGCCAACTGATGAGTGGCCAGTTACCAGTGTCAACCCGACTAATAATAATATTCATTAAATATGGTATACTTAGATAGCTCTATAGAAAAACAAACTGTAATATTATTAATCACCTTACCTATAACATTGCATAAGTTGTTTGAACCAGCTGCAGAAAACGGTAACACAACTGCAGGAACACAACCTTAAACAAAAAATAAACAAGAAACAATCATTAAACAGGAACATAGCAGGGGGGGGGTTAGTGAAAAACAACCTTAACACAACAATTATAAGATTTCAACCTTCTTGACACAAACAATTCCATAAGATTTCCAACTATGAATTATCAAACATGTCAACGTATTACCGCCATGTCCTATAATTATCACAATTATAACTGTGGGGGAAGGGGAGAAATTATTCAGTAAATTAGCCTTACCTCAAGCCGCTTCGGTTCATCGTGCTTCCTCATGGAAGGGAAGCACTTGGCCCGGACCATCACCACGGGGGATCCTGGTTTGACTGTTTAATGAAAGAGATATCAACTGAAATTGAATCACTGGTCTCAACAACATATATGACAGCTTAAAACTGATCGAGACTCAAAAATACTCAAGGTCAGCATACACGTGGCATGTGTGAGTTTTCCGAAAATAAATAATTATACATACCTTCAACATTATGAATGTAAGATCCCGAAAAAAACGCGTAGCCCTTCTTCAAGAGCTTCTGTGGGACCTTCTGGTCCTTCCTTGCCCATTTCTCAATGAACGCATGAGAAATGGGCGGCACTGGGCGCAGACTAACGCCCCAGCTTTCCTTGGAAGTTCTTCCAGTGCTCGTCGACGCCGCCATGATTGTCCTGGTTTCAAACATGCCCGGGCTTGCCTCAATAGCCTCGTTTTCATTCCAAGATGGCCGCCGCGTGATATAGGGCTATAGGAAATAAACCTGAAGTCTGCAGCAGATAACGACACAGTGCGAAATGTTGGAACCTAATTCATCATCTCCCGTGTGGGCGTCCGCAGGGTTAACCTCGTCTCGCGATTAGCGATTCTTCCTGAGAACAGCTTTCAGGGCTAAACACCACTTCAATAAATTACAGACTGCAGTGGTCGATATACATTCCTACCATGGAATCACACACTGGTACCAGCAGTTATAAGAGAAATTATCTTTTTGAAGGGTTAGATGTTTGGTTATCAAATCACAGTCTACAGTCTACTGGCCATTGATATAAATCAATGACCAGTAATCACCGATGGAATGGCCAATAAAGGGCTCTTTGCCAATCCAGAAAAAAATGAATAGGCTAGTGGTGCAGGTAAGTAAAATGTCCTGCAAAATGTTCTTTCTTAATATCATTTCTACCGATTTGATTTTTTTAAAGATCAGCCAAGGCGAACATCCACAACCTAAACTGATCTGACCCTGCTTTTCCTGAAAACATTTATAATCTGCCATGAATGTTCTTAATACGCACGCAACGGGAGATGCTTAATTTTACTTCAGCAAAGACGACAGGCCGCGAAATGCGATTCAGCGAAATTGTCGGATGTTGTCAGCAAATACAGTCAGGATGTTACGGCATGAAAACGGGAAAGGCTGTGCCGTGTAGATAACTTATCAGTTCCGTACCGATGCGTTTCCTGTATGTAGGGACGAGTAATCGGAGGCTGATAGTTCTGATCTAGGTTGAAAGTTTTAAAAAATCGTAATGATCGATTTCGGGAGATTAATGCTCTGGTATCCGAGTGAGATAAATTTATTGTGTTGTTGCACTAGTGGAGTGGTAAACCCTATCATTCCACTACAATGCAGGCTGATGTACAACGTTTCAATATGAGAAACTATCAATATTTGCTCTATCGCGAATATTTGCATTACCAAAGTTCTTTCCGGTTATGGATGTATTGTTTTTGGGTTGGCCTTGGCTGTGGGTTTGTGTGTGTGTGTGGCAGGTAAATTGACAAGTAGAATAACAAGCTAAAGGGTCAGATACAGTAAATGGGGTGACCTTAAAGGTTCCAGAACCTGACCGGGAGCCGGCAGGAGGAAGAGGTCGGCATGAGGGGGGGGGGGATTCAGGCAGCCGAGGATTGCATGCGCTCCTCTAATCCCGCCTGCAAGTTCACATTGAAGTACGTCATACAATCTCCTCGCGGCTGTTCCAATAAATTTACTAAAACCCAAAATCCTCCGCTTAACTTCGCAATGCGGATGGCACACGCTCGTAAGTCTAATAAATGTAAGACCGGTTATTTTCGAAAAGCCTTTAGCGCGCTACGAAGTCTTCGATTCAGCAGAAAAAAATCGTTAGGAAATTGCATGTATATTATTGCTTAGCTATACAAAAAGAACAAGAACCACGATCAGTAATGATAGAGAAAAGATCCCCAGGGATGACTTAATTACACCTGTTCCTGCATTAAAGCTCTTGATTGAAATGGATTTCTACTAAAAGTATCTAATAATGGAGACCAGTCAAATACATGTATAGGTGTAAACTAAATTCGGAAGGTTATAGACTCACGCTATATGTGATATCGCTAATGGACGAACAGAGAAACATCACGAAATCACGAACAGCTACCGAAACAGAATCTGTATGTGGAACAAATCTCGCGTAACCTCCCTTCATTTACAATTCCTTGCAATAGCTTGCGCTTGTGCTTAACTCTGAAGCACGAATTTCCACCCTCTGCAAAAACACAGACCGCATTTTGGCTTTGTCGTTGATAGCGTAAGGAGTATCTCAGCTGCCATATAAGTCAGTTCACAGGACTGTCTAAGCTTTTCTAGTTTAAACATTTGTTTTTGATTTACGTCTGAATTTACTCTTCAATCAAGTATGGTCTTTTTGCCACAGTACAACATAATGTACATTGCACAATATCTTGTACAGTATAATATCTCCCTTCCTCCATGTTTGGAACTGTGGCCACTAATATAATCCCTGATGAGCTCCGTATGACGGATGAGTTTGCAAATAGACGCCTTGCCGGACCAGATTATACCTTATCGTTACATGACAGAGCTGAAGAGACTAGCAGATACGTCAGTGCATGGCTGTCATGTGTATTTGATGGCATGAAAGTAATAGAAGTGTGGTAAATATGAATGAAATGACCCCTTTGAGTTATAAAACTCGGCGGCCAGGAAAGTAAATGGAAATTGCGCTGTCTGGAAGAGGTATAATCAAACGCCGCTGCCGTTATACAACCTTTCTAACGTCCCAATAGTGGTCTGTCCGGAAATATTGACATTACTGCTGGGAAGTTCAGATTCAATACCAGAATTACCTGATGACGCAAGAACATGGTCTGATGGCGAATTTTGTTCCAAAAAAGGAGGCTTCATAATACAGTCAACCATTTGGTTTTTCAGATAATAACAGTTAATGATATGAAATCAAAGTTGTCAATATCCTTAGCCGAAGTAGAATAGTAATAAGAACCAACAACGTAGAGTTGAAAAAAAAGATCTAACATCAAATTAAAATGCATGACCACGTTCCTAATAAGATCTCAGCGGCTGGATACACAGAGACTATTACTTTTTGAAGATGTCGGACTGAGTTACTGATAGACTTATTTGCAGTAAAAATGGGCAGATGTATCACTTCATATTTGAGTCATGGACACAATCAATCAGTGGCTGAAATTTGACACGTCAGCAACGTCGTACATCTACCGACGCTGAATTTGCTTTCAACGTGTTCAATCCAGGACCAGAACCAGGAGGTCTATATTACCTTATTGTGGGCAGTCATAAATGTCTTTTCTTATCGAAAGGTACGAAATGAAATGCCTTGTGGTCAGGGTTGGATACGTCGTAATCAGTTCGGAGAGTAGATCATCAATATTGGCATTATGTTCTATCGTATGTACTGTAAACTTCTGCTGGTCTCCCAACACCCGGAATGTCCACACTTTGAAAGAACAGTTATGAGAGACCTTCAGGAGCCGGGCTTCGCCTGGCAGGGAGCGGGAAGGCAAGCGTTGGACAGCAGAGATTGGAAAACAGAGGCGGCCCGCATCGTCCACAGATGAGAGCGGCGATAATGATGATTTCCACAGTTTACAGTGTGTAGAACCGCGGCATGGGAACAGCGAGAGCAAACCTTGGGTTACGGTTGCGGTTTAGAATTAAAATCACATCCACGGGAAATGACACAAGATTGTTATCAGCGAACCGCAACATCGTAATTATCGATCGTAGTATTATAATAGGTGCTGGAGGTGAGCGGATGTTACTTCAGTCGTGACGAAGGACGGTGAACATTTATTGAGATACTAATAGTTGGTGGATATGCAATTTCCACACTAATGGATGGAGATATATCAAATAATGAAAAAATAATTGCTGGGATCCTGTCCAAACTCGAATTGTATGCAATATTTATATATGCATATATTGCCAGTTTCTAATGCTCTAATGAAAGATGTGCATCGGTAGCTCCATTATTTTCCTTCTTCCCGTCCCGTACGGCGATTTACTTTTATTTCATGCAAATACATCCCGCGCATTAGTGACTGCGTGCTTTGATTGCTTTCTGAAGTTCAAGGCAGGGCAACGCCATATCAACTTCTACTTACTTACTCCGAGGTAACATGAAGGTCGGGCGTTCAGCCATGCCTGTATACATGTACATGTCAACTAATACCCGAAAGGTAAATGGTGTACATAAAACGTCATGAACTTACTCATTGATCTGAAGATGCAGAAACAAGAAAAGGTACGATTTGAGGCGTCTATCCTTTTCATTCAATGCATGAATAGCAAAGTCCTTTAATTATTCACAACCACTTGTTTAAGTTAACAAGAGCCTACGTTTCGATATGACCGCCTGTCATCTTCATAAGGGCAATTATGACTGGTTCACTGTGCACTAAAGCTAGGTGTTACTTTTTCATAATAATGTGGTTCATTTATTGTTATGGCTTTTCCGCTAAGTGGTGGTTTGAAAGATGTACATCGATGTTAAATGATTGCGGAGTAGCTGAAGGCTTTGCTACGCTTTAATGACACCATAATTCAGCCTGTGTATGCAGTCCAAGATGCATCATCGGTCATTGAGAAGCCATGATTCAACTGTACAACGCCACGGCGCGGCGTGTATTTAAATTCATTTCACACCTTGTAAACCGGGGTCTGCAACTCAGTTAATCTGTGAATGTAACACAACCAATACATGAGTGGCGGGGAACGTGAGCGGCATTTGCAGTGCATTTACGGTTGATCTAATTGACTAGACGGACGATCATGATAGTTTACGTACCTGGTCTGAAAAAAATGGCTTTTGGTGTAAGAGATAGATATGTCAGCCAAACCAAGTTACTCATTTTGTTCGAACTGACAATGACCCCGAATAATTAAGGGTTAATGTCCCGCCCCGAGGTGAATATGGTGTGATAAAGCCTTGTCAGTTGCTATAACCACTGAATAAAGCCACCAAGTGAGC